TAGATATCACTTTTTTTTTTAACCGACTACCGACAACTTTGACCGGTTAACGTTGATACGGGCAACCACCGGTCAAACGGTCATCGGTTAACATCCCTAGTTGTAATAATAAGACAAATGGGTAACACTTTCTCTCAGGGGACACGAGTAGAAATCGTGAATAAATATAGTAACTGCATGAAATACATGAATCATTATGACTGATTAATGATGAATGAACATGGGATCAGTTACTAACTACCACTTAGTTTTTCATTAATTAATACATTAAGTAAGGCTTGTGTGGCTTCACCTCATCTCCAGGCTGCCTTCTCTGAGGCTGTAGGTTGTATGTATCCCCTTATCATGCAGGTGACTAGTTGGCATCTATAAATTTTATTGTGTGCCCACTGATGGACTGGCATCCCATCCGGGGTGTGCCTTGTGCTGCCTGCAAAAAGTTCCAGAATAAGCAGTTAGAAGATTCATGAATTGTTGTATTATCACACAGTGATTGGGGGGGAGGGGGTTATGGGAAACCAGGTATTTTTATGCCACTAGGAGTCGGGTAACTGTTACAAATACATGCAGCTTCCAACTGCCCTGCCCAGGCTCTGTCGTCTCAGTAAATGAGCAGGAGGCATATGTACTGCACTTTCAACACAGGCCCGTATGAGAACAGTCAGACTGAAAGTCCCCCATTCGATGAAAGGATCATGATTCAGTCATAATTTATCAGCCAAACTTGTAGAAAATGCCCCAGATGCTATCTCTGTGGCTCACAGTGCTTCCTCATGTTTATTTAAAAACACCTCAGTTCAAATACAAGCAGCTCAAACAAGTCAAAGTATAAAATGGGTTCGGGGGGCATGAACGGCAGAGCAGGAGAGCAGCAGCTGGGAAGAATCTGCTGCTGAACTTCAATGTCAAAATGGGTATTTAACCTCCACTGTACTATTATCTTTCGAGTAAAATAGGGACACTTATCATTAACTCATCACCCACTCCCCCCCCCCCCCTGAAACAAGTTATTAAAAATGGGAACTGCCACCCACACTGGGTAGGCCATTTAAAAGCTGAGCCGAATGTTAAACTGAAATTCCTGCATGCAGTCATCCCACACGGCCAAGTCAAGACATTTTTATTTATATAGCACATTTA